ACTTTTGTGGCATAATTGTTATTTTTACGATCTCGAGAGATACTCCGGATGCTTTAGCGGCGACCTACCTGCTACCGAGTTCCAATTCATTAAAGGCCATTAATAAGTTTTATAGCCCTTGACAATTTATTGTGTGGACTGCACTGATTAATTAAATAGTCAATGAATAGGCCTTCACAGGCATTATAGTTTGTAACCGATCGGTATTTCTCCTTCGTGTCAACTTTCGAAGCATGCGTGTTGAAAAAGGATCAGTTTTTTTTTGTGTTTTAATGTCACGGATTGCTAAAGCTCACTTTTAAAATATACCTGGTCGGATACAGGAAATATAGATACTGAAATTAACAGTTTTATCCAATGTTATTAATATTACCAAGTTCCTGTAATTAATCAAAGGTTTCAGCGTCTTAAGGTAATTAAATATCGACAAAATTTTTGACAATTGTTTTTTTTTTTGCAAAGATTCTACTTAACTAATTCATTTTCATTCACTACCTCACTAATTTGTACTCGTATTCCAAACTATAAAAGTACATATGTTGAGTAAGTCGAAATTATGGAGTTTTTATTTTTCAAAAGATATTTAAGTGCAAAAATACATTGAACTAAGTTTAAGTTAAGTAATTTAAATCATTAAAACAATACTCAAAGATACCACTCTAACTTTGAGAATATTTACTTTAGTGCATGAAACTACGAGCGTAAAAAATCAAGTCTGCGACACTTGAACTTGCTCGATATTCGAAAATAGCTTTACGTGCGCCCGCGCCGCAGGATTTGGGTCACACGCTTATTGGCGGCAACCAAACACTGCGCCCAAGGACGGGCTTGCACTCCTGCGCTCGTGAAATTAGTGTTTCAGATTACTGGCTGGCTTTTACGAAATTACTTCATTTAAGTGCCCCTTTGCGAACGTTTGAGCAAGTGCGCTTGTACTGTTTTTTGCTGACTTTCGACTCTGTAGATGCTTTTTTGTTATTTGCCCAAAAAGGAGAGTTTGGTTTTACTTAACATTTTTTTTAATCTAATTAACGTCAAGGATTTTCGAAATTTCGGTTTTTCAGATTACCAATTAAGATTTAATTTTCTTTATAGATATTTCAATCAATCTGTTAAGTTTTTGGTAACTCCTCAAATTAATCAAAAATGCTTTTTAATTTCGGCATTTCATCGAACTGTGCTGTTCACAATTGACAATAAAATAAAAAAGCATCAACCAAAATCAATCCGCAGGTCAAATCAAAACAATTTTGAAAAACAATCGGTTCTGCGCAAGTGACCGCGCAGCTGCACGCCGGTCGCGTGCCCGGCACGAGGGCCGAGCGCGCACGAGGCGGTGGTCGCGCGCTGCGTAGGCGCAGCGAAGGCAGCGGTGTTTTTGGAAAAATTCATTGTAGAGATTTTGATGGAGTGAGGGACAGTAGAGAGCTTATTTTGGGGATGCATGCTGATGATAGGGAAGTACAAAACATTATCGAAACAAAAAATAAAAATTGATTTTAGAATTTGCTGAAGAACTATAAATGTTGCTCTAGGAACTCCCACCGAGGTTAGTCGATTTATTCAAGTTTTAAACATTGTGGCTGAGTAACACCAACTTATTTTAATCGTAACTATAACATTTTTCGGAGCATTTTGTATGGACTTTTACAAATTTTTTGACTTTTGTTAAAGTTAAAGTAAGATGGTACAACTTAGCCTAAGACATAGCAAAGACATTACAAAATCAAATTAATAACGAATTTTTCATTGTCTTGAGAAGTATTTTGTCACAGTACAAGAAATGTAATTAAGTTATTCTTTAATTACTACTAATAGCAGGAGGAGTTTATATTTTATTAAAAAACTTTGTCTTTTTTTATGTCATATCTAAGCGTAATTTTTTTTTTACTTTACTACTGTTCAAAGGATATTAAACCGCTATACAAATTACTTAGCTGCCGAGTGATAATAACGATGGTAATGATGCAGCTTAAACAAAACTGGTACATTTTTTGCGCTACTGACCAGTAAAGCAGTTTTATACTAACACTACACCGGATAACAAAGTGAGGATGCAAAATAACAAAGAAAAACCTAACTGATGACTTAGTAAACCAATGAACGGCATAGTTGCCGCCCAATTAGACAGACAACATAATGAGCTGCAATTTGGTCGCAAGCGGATGCACCGGCGCATAGTAACCGACAATTAATACAGGGTGTTGATGTCAATACTCGCCATATTTATTTAGGTGATCTATTATGATTTACATAAAAGCATTATCCACAAAAAAAAATTACAAACGAAAGTGGAATATTTAGCGAATATTTTTCGTGCGACATCGACTGTACTGTGGCCCACAATACTGCAATACGTTTACACTGCAGCACCATCGAGCTACGTGGATCGCTCGCTTATCATGTCGGATAGCCAACCGAAGGAAGCCACGTAAAGTACCTAGGTAGTGTAAATAGGTAAATTTATGTGACTAACTAAAGTTAAGGTTCGTTTTAATTTTTTTCGAAGTAAATTTTTTTACTGATTCGTGATCAGAATAAGCTACTTAATCAAGTCCCTAAATATGCCGAGGATTGAAATAAACACCCTGTATAAGCATTAACAGCGAGGACAAAACGATTGGCGAATCCACAGGTGTGTTCAATGCGCACACGCATCCGCGGCGTCTAGTTCATCTTGTTCTATAGACAAGTCCTAACAATTAATACCCCGACGGAAATATCCACCCATAATGCGCGGCTTCCCTTCCATTATCAAAAATTATTATTGCAGCCTGATGACTATGGGCGGGTCAGACGCGATCCTGTTGCGATTCCGATTGTCTCTCACGAATTAAATGCAACACAAAGTATGTTTAGGCCCCCTATTTCGTGCTTTATTATATTGCTTTGCCGAAATGTAACCTGAGTTGAGGCACGTGTAGCAAGCCTTTTTATTCTAATTTTGCAACGTCCCGTATGTTATTTGTATTTGAAAAGAGTTTTAAAGGAATGTTACGAATTTTTATTTGAGGCAACAAAATTGCTTTTTGCAAATTCAAAAAGCAATTTTGAATTACCCTACTTCAGTGGTTGCCGTGATCAAAGAAGCTTTTATATTAAGAGGTTTGTATATTAATTAATTACTAGTTATTTATTACAAACACTAGGACAGCTGACAGAACATTACACTCTACATTTTTGTAATACCTATGGCACTATTAGAACTACATTAAGATATTCCGTTTAGCTGGATATATCGATTACTATACGAAATACCTACTTGTTTAAAAAATAAAGCTGAATATATTTTTTATCAAATGTTAAAATCAAATGTTTTATAAATGAAAAAACTAATTTTCACACATCACACTATCAACAACATAAATACAAGCTTAGCTTTGTATTATTAAAAAATATGCACAGCTTTTTATCTAACAAATACCTATACACGAGGAAAAATTCGGGTTTCTAAAGGCAACTTCGAGTATAGGCAATTATTTTTGGTCTTTTTCTTGATTGATGCAAATTATGTCCACATTTCCTCAAGATAGGTATTTTTCCATATTTCATACCATACTTACCTATTAATATTCTCTCGCCCTTGTCTATGTATAAAGATAGTGTATTCCGTAGACGTATAAAGTTTAATTCAGAATTAACGAATTTAGATTAAACATTTAAACTTTGATAAATTTTAGTAGTGAGTTAAATTGTGATTTTAATACTGTACTAAGTATGTCAATTTAAAATATTCCCAGCTAAGACAACATAAACTTATAAAAGCTCAGAGTGAGTTTTTTTAATACTGGCACTCGTTGATGCACGCGTCACAGTTCATTTTCTATTATCATTTTCATTTTCTACAATAAATCAATAAACCAATTCTATTCTATTCTATTGTATCTGGAATCACCGCCAATAGAATGTTTCGTTTTTGAAAAAATTTAAGCTTTAGCTTTTTGAGCTTAGGTTTTAAACTACAGAATACTTCTCAAGCAGTAAGAAGTAGGTAAGATTTTTTAGCTATTCATATTTAAATCAATCTTTTCAGTTTTTTTGCGAACGAGTTTTAAAGTTCGTAATCTCTTAGATTTTCTTTTGTTTTTGAGAGATACGTAGGTATATATAAAGATTAGCTAGAGTAAAATTTCGGCTTTGTTTTGAAATTCCTTTGGTAAGACTATTCGTATTTGTAAAATCATGTGATTCACTCACAGCACTTACAGGGCAGATATATGTACCATCCTAGACTGCATCCCACTTAACATCAGGTGCGATTGTGGTCAAATACCTGCCTTGTTATGCATAAAAAAAAATCATAATAGGTACTTAAAGCTCGCAACTTTCAGGGGTTGGGTAAATTAAATGCATGTAGGTATAATGTTCTTTTATGTTTATTTACAGGAATAACCACATGGTTGATCCTAAAATTGTTTTTTCATAATTGTAAACAATGATTCATAAATTCTTAAGATATTAGGAATCTTTCTTATGGTGCTAGAACTATTTATTTACACTAGAAGTCTTTGTCTCAAGATTTCATGTTATTATACTTTAATAAAACCACTGATGTTTCAAATATCTTACCGAAATGTAAGGTAACAGTCTATATAAACAAGTCTTAATTTCATTTGAAGCGTTCTAAAATATCCTTAAAACTAGTGACTAGATAACAAGTATAAACTATTTAATACTAAATAATACCTAACTGGAAGTTACAATAATTACACAAGGCTATTATTAAGGCACAGCGTTGTCTGGAATCACTTAAACTGTTACTAAATGCTTATGTGGAACTAAAGTTCGTTTCAGTCTTTGATGTGCTATTTCATCCATGTATGAAATGAAGTTTAAGGCTTTTCGTTCGATGTTCGGTCGACGGAATGCATCGATGAGGTCGTTATAGTCCACCATTATCCCCTCTCATTAGGAATATACTGATTGCGCTTAATTAGAGGTTCTCTCGGAGTCCACCGCGCTCGTCGCTCAAGATCCTCCCAAGAATTACTTGTTTTTTCACAAGCGCCTGAATGGCCGCACTTTGATCACCGTAAGCCACGGTTCCTGGGAAAAAAAGAAAAAACAAATTAATACCAAAAATTTAAAGCACATATTTGAGCAGGCTTATAATGAAAAGCCTCAGAGCTTCGGTAAATTTTATCGCAATACGAAACGTGAATTCACATGAGGTAAACTTGTAACGCCATATGTTTACTTAGAGCTTAGCAAATATTGTAACACGTGTGCTTCGCTCGCCGCCGATCTATTTCCTCTTGAGATTTCGTCTTCCGGCTAATATATTAACCTTAAAGTACCCGGCTCTATATTTTTTATAGAATTCTAATCTCGTGTTTTAGTTACGGTGCTACCGGTTTTGCGAAACCCATCAATTTGGCCCACATGGTGCCGTTGAAAGCTCTTATTGACCGGATGTTGTCCTTTCGGACATATGCGAAAACAAAACCTGTTTCCACTTGAACGAATAGAGCTTACTCTTAGTCCATATTATTAGAATAGACCACTTTTTATGTGCAATTTTCTCACTACATGCGGGCAAACCACAAGATTGTTAGAAAATAATTGCTGCTCGGCAATTCACGCAAATAATAAGGCAGAATGCGGGTCGCTTCTATCTTATTATGATACGGAGGAAAATTAAACCTGTCTATGATGGTAAAAAATCCTAACTAGACGCGGTGGAGCGACATATTTCAAGATTCGCTATTGTTGGAGACACCCTATTGTGTCGTCCTAATTTAACAATGCGCAGATAAAGTCTATCCGACGGTTCAATGCGCAACCATAATAGTATTTTATGTGTTTGCTTTTTGCCTGCAGGATAGAACCAGCGAGACTATTCAAACTTGCGCAACATAAAAGCTCATAAAGTCGGCAGGGACGTAACCGTGACGTATCGGATAAAAAAATATTTTAAACCCAAACTTATCTACCTGACATTGCAAATCCACTATTTTATATGACAAAAGAAAAAGCTTTTAGATTTTTACGCAACGCATGACACAATTTTCCAATCTTATTTCGTGAACTTGAGCTTATTATCAGCGCCCGTCGCGACAAATGTAAACACAGTGATAAAAATTATCAAAGCTCTGAAGTTGATGTCAAAGTAAATACACTTTAAGGTTTCATTCATAAAATGTTACGTCTTATCACATTTTATACAACAGTTTTTATCTGACATTGAAAATTAGTTTTTAAAAGGTATGTGTGCTTACCTTTGATCATTGCTGTTGCCACCACGATATGACGTCTAGAAGCTCTTCGTCTTCCGGGCTCATGGGTTCGTACGAGTCGTATGCGTCATGAGAACTGGGTCCTGCTGAACTTTCCGACACGAGGGAAGGAGCCGGTGAATGAGATTCTTCTGATAGGGGAGGTGTGTGGGGTCCACTTGTGTTCATGCCCAAGGCCATTTGTGCATCTGTACATCCTTCTTCACTTTCTTCTAACAGTCGTTTTAAACTTTTGATGTACTCCACTGCCAGCCTCAATGTGTCCACTTTGCTAAGTTTTCTTGATGAGCCCCTACCTCCAGCTAAGGCGGCAGTAACAGCTGATGGTATGTGTTGTCGAAGCGCAGCGAACCCGTTGTTGACCTGTTTCACTCTGTTCCTTTCCCTGGCGTTCCTCCTGGCCACGGAAGCCGGTTGGGTCGGGTAGGGCTGATGGAGGTAGGATCTCTTTTTGCAGCGAGCAGGATCGACAGGAGCGGGAGCGAGCTTCCGAGGCGCCGGTGCCTGGAGTTGCGCCAGTTTGTGATCGAGGTTTTGATAAGCGTGAATGGTAGCCATCGGCATCGCGAGTCGTGTGTGGTGTCGAGAGAGCACGTGTGCGTGCAGCGCGGAGGTCGCCGGTGGATTGGCGGAGGTGGCGCGCACCCCCGACGCTAAGTAGCGCGCGCGCGGCGGCGGCGAGGGGAGGCGGGAGGGGCGGGCGCGCGGTGGGGCGCGTGCCGAGCGCGCGCCGCACGGGCCGCACGCCGCCGCCGCACCCGCTCCGCTCGCTTGCTACTTGTTGCACTCCGGTTAGGGTTGCTAGGCGACATGTTTGGCTTTTTAGGGACTAGTCCGGTCAAATATTGCCTTGTCCGGCCTGTCCGGCTTTTGTTAGGCTTTTTATTTGGTTGCCGCGCCAGGTGAAAGTCGAGCCACAGAATCATATGAAGTGCATGCATCAGGATGTTGGATAGCAACCGATGATGATAGTACTCACTCGTGAGCTGACCTGACACTAATTGCCGCCCCCCGTCACATGTCCGGCTTTTAGGGTAAAATGTCCGGCCAAATGAAGCACAAAGTCCGGCTTTTGTGATTTTGGACCTGGCAACCCTAACTCCGATCAAAATACGCCGGCGCTTATTATGCCATAGAGCAGTAAGCTCGCGCCGGTATTGTTGCACGTCGTTGCGCGTAATTATCCCGTCCATTACCTTGTTCGGAAGACGGGATCTGTTCTCGTCGTCTATTTAGAAGTCGTTAAGCAGAATAGGCGCTGTAAACGTATCGGCGACGATATTGTTTTATTAATATCACCGAGCTTTTGTTTTCGTTTAATAAGCTTCATAAACTTTTTTTAGTAATGTTCATTGTTCACTTGAAAGTTACATACACTAAGGGTGCCTTATTATGCATAATATTCTAGAACAAAGTGTTCATATCCTGCTTTTTGTTTTTATGTAGAGTCATAAAATTCTGAAAAATTGCATTATTATCTTAAAACACCTTCCAAAATGTTTATGTTAAATATTTTTTGAAGATTTCTCTAGGATCTCAAAACCTTTAAGCAAGTTATTAAAGTATGTATTGATTTACAATCTTACAACAAACGATTTGTGCAGAAATGCATTTCGTTGTTTTTTTTCATTCAAGATATTTTTCCCCTTCAGAACTTGCGTCTAAATATAAATGTTAAGGGTTTCCCTAAAGCCGAGCGTCAAGTTGAGGGCAGGTGCGGCGGCGCGCGCGTCGATTCGTCAAAGCTGCGCGCACGACAAATCCCTCAAGTAAATCTGACTCCAAATTTTCTGTCACAAAACTTGAAATTTTAATATGTTTGAAATCGAACATTTATGTCAATAGTTATCATACCCTTTATAACCAAGTACATTAATTAAACTATTTACTTAAAAACTCGGGTCAATAATATCCGTTCTGCAAGAATCTAGAGCAAAAACTTAGTTAAAAACGAACATTGGGTAGGTTTTTTGTCATAAAAGCCATTCAAATCATGTTCAAATAGGCCTTAAGCGCTTTTACACGTCACACTATGACCTAATCCCTTATCACTTGTAATATTTAACCAATTATACAAATTACAATTAGACTAATTTAAACTCTAACAAACTGCGTATAACTGATGTAGTAGGGTAACGTCTCGCACTAGTCTGCCGTCTCTACGTAGTCGGTGGGGACAACTAGTGGACAGGTGTGACATTGTTGTGACGGCTACTTGTTTTGTCCAACCTGCGATCCGACGTCAGAGCAGCCCTTGATTCTCAATGCTTTTACCATAACCTTGAATGAATTCAGCTACTTATGAATTCTATTATTTTGCGCACAATTTAGAATAAAAACCATTAAAAACATTACTTCTTGTCTAACGCAGGGAAATTTGGATCTGGAAAAAGAAAATTGAAAGTAGGTACATAAATCGATAATTAGAAAGAAGTAAAGCATTACATAAATACTTATTCCAACCACAGAATATGATAAAAAAACTGTATAAAAAATGATTAGGTAAGAAGTAGGGAATTACTCCTATCTCTACACAACATTAAAATATATTATGCTCGAAAGCTTTCCTTGTCTAAATTCCATCCATCCAAAAATCCTTCTAGGGACAGAAAAATTTCAACATTCTTGCTAGTTCTATATTTATAATAATTAATAACATAACCACGTGCTCTATAATGAAGTTGAAATCGTCAAACAATGTTTCCTTTTGTTTATAAACAAGGTTTTTTTTAATAAAAAATGTCAGGTCACCGGCGCATGGGCAGGTGCGGCGGCGCGCGCTGCGTCTTTCTCGATTTTTCTGCTCAGACTTTTTAAGAGTCAAATTGCTTTCGTAAATAAGCTTTGGAAAGCCCATGATTTAAAAATAAACTAAGTGAAAAAACTCTTGAGGAAAACAAATCTTTTACTCTTTTAACTATTCTTTGAAGTAACCTAGATAGATGTGTAACTGTCTGTGTATAAATTACAATATCTTATTGGTATTGTCACATACTATAATTATTATTAAGTATAAAACCGATTTATACCTGCGTTATGCGTTTTGTGTATGATTATTATTTTATTAATCATTTATTTACTATCTGAATTGCTTGAAAAAGCTCTTAAAAGCAGACACCAAACCTAATATTTTTATTATCAATTAGGTAGAATTTCATAAAAATGGATAAGTTACGATTTCATCCCTTAAACAGTGCTCACAGAGCCATCTACATTCTACCCCTTCTTATCAAGAACTAAATCGATACTCGCTTCCCCTATTCGTTTACTGCAACTTTTCATAGATGGCAGTAGCGAACAAGGGGTGCATAATTTAGGGGTTGAAAGTTGACGTCCGTATAGATTTTTGAAGGAGTTTCAACCTCCGTTCAATAGGTGGCGCTAAGGCCATATTTTAGATTCATTATTGACGTAATAAACGAAGTTATGAGCGAAGTGCCAGTGCTAAATAACATGAGTTACTTCCTATTTTATGAAGCTCGCTATAAATCGTAATATTGAAGATCACTGGTCTTCAGTCAGTGACCGAGCAGTGATTTGGATGAAGTTATAAAATCGATCGTAGAACTTTCATTTCCCAGAAGCAGTTCAAGTTTTATATTCCAAACAGTAGCAAACAACCAATTAGCAGGCCCGATACGGTGGCTTAATGCTCCGTGCCTAAGTCGCGTATGAAGCCATTAATTAAAGACATAATAAACTTCAACACAAAATTGCTTATTATCTCACGGTCGATTATGCTCGCGTCTTTAGTAAACCGATACAATCGATTGGAGTCTGATTTTATGAGCGCACAATGCGATGACCACTGCTCTTATTGGCTATTCGATTTTGAGTCTTCTGTCCACCTTCAATTGTTTATTTGTAACTCCGCTGGTACTTCACTAATTAATACCATTCATAGTTCATTTTCCAAACACATATTTCACTTGTTTTAATCTTGTGTCGCTAGTTTTAGTACGTCGTTAAGCTTCTACAAGTATTTCTAGGTATGTTAAGTTCCATTCAGTATAATTAAAACAATAAATGTATTGAACACATCTCGTTCAAATAAATTAGTATGTTATGTTGGAATGCAAGTACCCATTTTTTGTAACGATGCATTCTATGATAATGAATCCTGTGATACTAAATGTTGTAAGTTTTTCATTTGGTCATAATTAATGCAATATTAATTAATGCTAAGCAAAGCATTCATTGTTCCTTGAAGAATGTTCATGTCATTTTTATAGTTAATATTTCCTGCTTATCGAGGCCGACATCAAAATCTTAATCAAGACAATATGTAATTTTGATATTGATTGATATTTTAATTGGATTACAATGGGTTTGACTTAATGGATCGAGAAAGCCGGGCCCACTTTGGTAGCGGTCGGTTTTTGTACGAGGCGACATTATCAATAGGGCTCCTTCGTAATTATGCTGCCATTCAATGAATTTATTGTCATTTTTAATAATCGCGTAGGTTTCAAGCCGTCGAGAGAGAAATTAAATAAAATTACACTAACAGAGAACACAGAACACGGGGTATTCGTGTAAATAGTTATTTAATATGCTTGTTAATAAATTCTCTGCACTCGGCTATATTTATGCCGAAGCCTTAGTTTTAGCCGCGGCTACATGCAATACAAATGATAATACCACGTCGGTGGACACAGACAGATTCTGATTGTCATCGAAATAAACGTTGGTTACCGCTTTCCCTGCGTAAATAACACCGGGGTGTTTGGTAATAAGTTTTCTAGGCATGTAGAGGGCTATCATTTACGAAATAACAATCGCAAATAAAAGACAACGGTGGGGCGTTAGTGTTGGGTGCAAATTTAGACAAAAGAAGTCAATAGAAACCGCGTATCCTCCTTCTCAATAGATCTCTATCACTTGTTGTTTTACCGTAGACAAGCAGTCTTAAAAATTATTAAACGCTCTCATTAAAATCTGACAAGAATGATCCACAGTTTCAATTATTATGTCAATTGTTTCCAATCATCAATCGTTACCAAAGGTCAATGCAATTACGTAGATAATGCTATAATTTAATTAAAAAGTCAAAGCAAATGGTAAATAGAACCCGGGCTTAGACATTTATTAAGTCCCTAGTTGGTTTTAGATACAAGTATCTATCTAAGTTGCATCCTTAAAAGGATATTTTAAACACATTTGGCGGACGCAGCGCGGGCTCTACACAGCGTATAATCTGTGGCCGCGAACATCGCGGTTGGTGTATAATTTCGCGTTCGCTGACACGGGCTGTGCCATTCCTCAATATATCACGTGCGTACGCGCAAGTATAATTCGTGTAATTTATAGACGCCGCGGAATAGTAGCGAGCCGAGCTAATAGCGCTCTACCACGCGACACGCGCGTTGGGTTAGGCCCTTCGTACACTCCGTGTGTAGTTGAGCAGCGACATAGAGTAGAATTTAGCAGATCGTAACCCGCTTTGGCGGGCAGAAGGTCCTGTTTCCAGGGTTACGAGGAGAAAATTTCTATAAAATGTTGGACCTCTCGAAGCCGAAGAGGCTCGCTCAAAAGCGAGCAATAGCGCGGGACGGAACCAAGGACGAATGTCTAGTTAGGACAATAACTCTCGGCTCCATTTCATTGGGCTCCGGAGACACCATCG